TTTTTTTTTTTTGTCGTTTTTGGCTAGGGCCAGGTTTGAACCCACCACCTCCAGTATATGGGGCTTGCGCCCTACTCCTTTGAGCCACAGGTGCTGCCCTCACCATCTTTTTTATGGCTGAATAGTATTCCATGGTGTGTATGTAACACAATTTGTTAATCCATTCCTGAACTGATGGGAATTTAGGTTGTTTCCTCCTCCTGGTGATCGTAAATTGAGCTGCAATAAATAATCTAGTGCAAATGTCCTTATGGTAAAATGATTTTTTTTCTTCTGGGTAGATGCCTAGGAGTGGGATTGTGGGGTCAAATGGGAGATCTAATTTGAAGAAATAAAATTTTATTATTATTTTTTTTGATGGACTCTCACTTTGTCACTTTTGGTAGAATGCTGTGGTGTCACAGCTCAGAGCAACTTCAAACTCTTCGGCTCCAGTGATTCTCTTACCTCAACGTCCTGAGTAGGTGAGTCTATAGGCACCCACCACAATGCCCAGCTATTTTTAGAGAGGAGGTCTCACTCTGGCTAGGCTGGTCTCAAAGTTGTGAGCTCAGGCAATCTGCCCACCTCAGCCTCCCAGAGTGCTAAGATTACAGGTGTGAGCCAGGTTGCCTGCCCTTGAAGAAATAAAATTTTAATAATATATTTGATTTAAGGGCCAGATGCAGGGCCTCATGCCTGTCTAGCACTTTGGGAGGTAGAAATGAGTAGATTGCCTGAGCTCAGGGGTTTGATACCAGACTCAGCAAGAGTGAGACCCCATCTCTAGCCTAACGTAGCCAAAATATTATCACTCAGCATGTAATCAATATAAAAATTGTTGGTTATAAAAACTGGGCCAGAAAAAAAAAAGGGGGTGGCACCTGTGGCTCAAAGGGGTAGGGCTCTGGCCCCATATGCCAGAGGTGGCGGGTTCAAACCCAGCCCTGGCCAAAAAAAAAAAAACTGGGCCAGGTAAGGTAACACACACCTATAATTCCAGCACTCTGGGAGGCTGAGGCAGTGGGTGGATCACTTGAGCTCACAAGTTCAAGAACAGCCTGAGCAAGAGTGAGACCACATCTCTACTAAAAATGAAAAACCTTAAGAAATGAGTATAATTGTGATGGAAGTGTTACTTGGTTCAATGTAAACATTTCACATTGTATATCGAAGCAGTACTCTGAACCCCATAAATGCATCAATGTACAAAGTTATGATTTAATAAAAAATAATTATCAAAAATAAATAAAGAAAAACTAAGGGAAGAGGATCATTTGAGTCCAAGAGTTTGAGGTTACTGTAAGCTATGACTCCATGGCACTCTACCAAGGGTGACAAAGTGAGACTCTGTCTCAAAAAACCCCAAAAACTAACTGGATATTTTACATTCATTTTGGTACTAAGTCTTTGAAATCTGGTGTGTATTTTGCACTTACAGTATTTCTCGATTTGGCTAGACATATTGCAAGTGGTCAATAACACATGTGGCTCATAGCTACTATCTATGTTAGTGATGAAGTTGGAGGCTCTATCATGGTGTTTTTCAACCTTTTTTGTTTGTTTGTTTGTTTTTAATCTCATAGCATACTTGAACCTATAGTTAAACTTCTGTGGCACACTTACATTATGTCAATCAAAGAAAAAGAGTAAAAAAAAGAAATACTTACTGTGCTTTGAACTTCTTCCAAAAATAATTTAATTAATGATATTTAAAATTCTTTGCAATACCCCTAAGATCCTCACACAGTACATCAGCTGAAAATCACTGTTTTATCAGATTCCCGCTGG